GGCAGTTCTGGCGTGATGAGTGCGCGGTCACGTGTCCCGCGCATGTTTTTGGGGCCTGGTTAAGTGGCGCGCCAGCTTACCAGCCCATCTGGGCCGCGTGGCCCCCGGGCGCAGCGCGTGCTCGGCCGCGCCGTGCGCTGGGCGAAATGCGGCGCCATGGCGCGGAATCGTTCAGCACTCGAGCGACAGTCGGTCGTCGAAGCCCATTGGGCAGAAACGTCCAGCGACGATAGCGATAGCACCCCGCGCAATCTGGGGGTCGCGTCCGCACGGCGCACACGCGGGCGCACCCCCGCGCGCAGCGGCAGTGGGTGGCAGCGCCGGGCGTGGCTCGCGGGAGCGCTGTTGCAGTGGGTGGTGCTCCCCCACGTGCCCGACTGGCGTCTGCCCGCTCGGCCCCGGAGAGGCCGCGCGCTGCGGGGGAAGATGGGTCGGGTCCGCACCCTCCGTTCCTGGGGGAGGCATCCTCCTCCCCCCCAGGGCCGTGCGAGGCGAGTGCAAGCGCCAGGAGTTGCGGGGTCGGAATAACGGAGTTATTGTTTGGCACAAAACCGCTTGCGCTGGAAACGACCCCGCGGCTGGCCGCGGGGGCGCCCTCGCTCGGTTGGTCGGCCGCGCGCTGGCCGACACGCGTTCGCCTCCCGCTTGCGTTGTGCTGTGTTGTGCCGTGCCGTGCTTTTTCCGCCTGATACTGGGGCGGTGTCTAAATGACGTGCGGTGTCTCGCTTCTCGGTCCATCGTGGCCTGTGCCGTGTTTCGCGTTTCGGTCCATAGTGACCACGGGCGGTGGCCCATAGTGGCCTGCAGCGCTCACTCGGCCAGTGGGGCCATCTCTCCTGGTCCATGGTGACCACGTGCTGTCGTTGGCCCGCCCAACCCGCCCTGGGGGTGGGGGTGGTGGTGCCCCCCCACGGGCCCGACCGGCGTCTGCCCGCTTGGCCTCGGAGAGGCCGCGCGCTGCGGGGGCAGATGAGTCGGATCCGCACCCTCCGCTCCTGGGGGAGGCATCTTCTTGCCTCCCCACGGCCGTGCGAGGCGAGTGCAAGCGCCAGGATTTGTGCGGCCATCTAGAATTCTACGGCGGGTCCGTCTTGTCGTCGTCGTTCGTCGCTGTCCGTCGGTCGGTCTGTCGTAGTCGTCCGTCGGTCGTCGCCGTCAGGCGTAGTCCTCGTCGTTTCGTCGTTCGGTCTTCGTGGGTGATTGGTCGGTAGTCGTTGCTGTCGTCGTTGTCTGTCTCTCGTCGTCATTGGCGATCGCTCGGTCAGCCAGTCGGTCGGTCGTCGGTCGTCGGTCGGTCGCTCAGTTGCTCGGCTCTGGATCGCTGGGCAGCTAGAGCGAGTCACGCCTCCACCACGGCCTGAAGTAGTTGTAGTCGTTCGACGGACACACCTCGTCAAAGTTCTCAGTTGCAAATTAGTCACCGGACTGGTTTGTCAGGTGAGTGTTGTTGGTAGTGGGATTTTGAATGCGCATATCATATCGCGCAGATGTATGGCCCGACGTCATGTTCTCAACTTCGTTGCATCTGTAGCCAAAGCGACCGAAGACGACAGACGACGACGACGGAAACCGTCGGACCGACTCAGGACGACGACCTGCGAACGACGGTTCGCGACAGCGAACGACGAACCACGGCGACGGTCGATTAACGACGACGACCTCTGGGGGATTGAGCCGGGGTCCGTCTGGAGCGCTGAGGAGGGCGCAGTCGGGGGAATATTCTCGCACATTCGGAGGTTCATTCGCGGCTCGTTCGGGTTCATTCTGCCCCAGCAGGTGTTCTCAAAGTCAGGGCTTTGCAGGATTCGGAGCCCGAGGTGGTACATTCGCTTGCATACGCCCGTCCCCGATATATTACCAAAAGCGGAACCCCCTCGTCGATGTGGGGAGAGGAGCAGGGGGGCGCGCCCTCGAAACGCTCCCTTCTAGACTTTTACTGGGCCCGCGCGTTCTAGAGTTTGACCTCGGCCGCTCGCGGGCGGCCTTCTAGGTTCGGCCTTCTGCACTTCTACGGCGGCGTCCGTCTTGTCGCCGTCGTTCGTCGCTGCCGGTCGGTCGGTTTGTCCTCGTCGTCGTCGTCCGTCGGTCGTCGTCCGTCGGTCGTCGTCCTCGTCGTTCGGTCGTCGTTGGTCGATCGATCGGACGGTCGTTCGGGTCGGTGGTCGTTGCCGTCCTCGTTGTCAGTCGCTCGTCGCCGTCGGTCGACGTCGTCGGCATCGGCAGTCGCTTGGTCGGCCAGTCGGTCGGTCGCCGCCGTCGTTGTCGATCGGTCGGTTGGCCGGTCGTCGTCGTCGTCGGTCGTCGTCGTCGTCAGTCAGTCGTTCGCTCGGTCGATCGATCGATCGGCGTCGTCGCCGTCGTCGTTCGTGGTCGTCATCGTCGTCGTCGTCGTCGGTCGCTCGGTCGCTTGGCCGCTGGGTCGCTAGGCAAGTAGAGCGAGCCACGCCTCTACCACGGCCTAAAGCAAATGAAATCATTAGATGGACGCATTGCAACAAAATTCTCACTTCGCAGATTCGTCACCTGAATGTAGGGTCTAACGCACAAGTCTGTGAGTTGCGTCCAGCCATGGCGACGAGGAGGGCCCCCCCAAGGCTCCTCCGTCCTCATACCGCTCCTCCTATTATATCCTTCCTCCCCATCCCCTTGACATGTTTTGGCTCGCTGCGCGCGCGCTACCCACATGCAGGGTCTCTGTGCCACCTCAGCCCTCCGGATTTACATGACAAATCTGTGGCGGCGCTTTGAAAAGACAAATTGCGTTCAGAGGAGGGCCAGTTAAGACAATGATTGGTTGGCCTTCGAGGGGCTTCCTCGTCGCCATGGCTGAACGAAGCCGGGACAAGTGGTGCGTTTGGGCACCAGGGGGTTCCGCGGACCATTTGCGATCCCGCGATTCTACTGTGACCCCGGGATGGCTCCAAGTTGGCCCCAATTCGCGACGGACGGTGACGACGGGCGCCCCGATCCACCCTGAGGGTGGAATTTGAAGCGCGGACCGAGTCTGAACCCAACGATCCTGGCAGAACCACTGGTTCGTTACTCCCAGTGTAAAGTAGGCCCGTGTCCAGTCTTCCCAGGGAAGATTGGATCCGTGTCTGGTATTGCCAGGGAGTAACGTTTCCCTGTTTATCATTCCAAGGGCATGACGGACCACTGTCCGTAATTTTCAGGGGGTAACAGACCATCGCATGTTATTCCAAGGGAATCAAGGACCCCTGTCACTACCCGAGGAATCATGGCCCCCTGGCCAACCCCAGGAAAGAAGGAATCCTTGGCCGTTGTTCCAAGGGAATAGTGGACCCCTGTACATTACTTCCTGGAAATAATCACCCCCTGTCTGCTATTTCAGGCGAAGGGACTCCTGTCAGTTACTTTCAGGGCATAATGGACCCCGGCTCACCATTCCAAGGAAATGACGGACCCGTGCCCGTTTTCTTGGGGAATAATGGGCCCGTGCCCATTTGTCCAAACAGATCGTGGACCCGTGTCTTTGTTCCATAGGGAACAAAGGGCCCCTATTCGTTATTCGACACAGGGAATAACGGACTCCTGTTCGCACTGCCATGGAATAGCGGGCCTTTGTTGATCTTCCGGCATGGTAATGAACCCATTTGCGTCCAGGAGTGAAGAATAACTAGCCTTTTTTGATCACTCCGGAATGATAGTGAATGTTTCTTGTCTCCCCTCGGGCGGCCCCAGATACAAGCCCGATCCACTATTCAAGCAGAACGACCCCTTGTTGATCATTCCAGAACAATCATGACCCCCTCCATCCCAAGGAGTAACCCGGATGGGGAACCCATTTCAGTCCATTAGTTCACCATCACGGTTTTTTGTTCTTTCCAGAATGGCCATGAACCCATTCCAGTGTGCCAATCAAGAATGACGAGCCTTTGCTGACCATTCCAGAACAAAAATGATTATTGTCCCCATATCTTCCAGCGAGTGAATCGAATTCAAGTATTACCTCGGGTCCACGAATCAAACATAACCACCCACTATATACGATCTACGAATAGTAGACGCCAGTATGAATGCAGTCCCGACACACCTTCGGACCTGAAGACATCTCACTTCGTACCCCGAAGCACGGCGGCTGACCCTCACCCATACACGCATCCATTGTGTTGTCGACGTCGGTGTTTGTGATAAGCTCCCGCTCTCCTCCCATTCCGTGCTCCTTGTCTTCTGACAGTTTGCGTTGGACCACAGCCATTGTTAGGCGCGTTGTCCTTAAACGGATGTGTGACCGCGCAGTTTTGCGACCGCCTTGCGCCAAGATGTACGTAACCGCCGCTTGTCTGTTCGTCCGTCTGTCACCATCCTTCTTCCTCTCTCGTCGCAGTGCGCTCGTTCAGATGTCCGTGCTCGGTTGCGTGTGGCGTCTGCGTATGGCTGCTTCGTCTCTGAATATCCCATTGTTTTGTCGTCTGTTGTCTGTCTAGCTCACTCCTTCTCTTTTTCTGTCTCCCTCTCTCTATCACACATTATTTCTCTTTCGTTACCTTTGTCTCTCTCTCTCTCTCTCTCTTTTCTACTTAATGGCCTGCGGCCTATCCCGCCACCGTGTCTGGGTTGAGGGTCAGCGGCCTCGTGGATACTGTTTGGGCTCTCTTCGGAGGGCTCTTGGGGATGCTTCTCTGGGGCAGTTGCGAGGCCTCATGAGAGTTTCGTGGGAGCTTGTTGGAAGCTTCTTGGTACCTCTTGAAGGCTTCTTGGGCCTCTGAGTGGAGTCTTGGGGGATGCTTGGAGTCTCCCTAGCGCCTCTTGGGGCGATGAGCTTGAAATGTCGCGACGTGCTCCCTCTCTGTGGCCCCTCTTGGTGTGTTCTTTGGGCCCTCTTGGGCAGTCTTGGGGACCATCGTTCGCCGTTTCCACCCACCCGTCAGAACTGCATGAGCCTTGGGGCACTCCGCTTCGTGCTGAAGGCACGGTGGCGGATCAGATAAGTTCCGTTTCTGGCCCGGAGAGGCCAGGAAGGAAAAAGCGGCCACGAGACGAGCACCGACGAGTGCCACAGTTGGTGCCAGGGCGTGGGCGGCTGCGTGGGCTTCCAGTTCCAGGCGGAGGACCCGTGGGAGGCGGAGGCCTGTCAATCTTCGGCCGTGGTTCTTCGCCGACGTGGTCGCGGCCGTCCCTGGCGCCACCCGGGGCGCCACCCAGGGAGGCCCTCGCCCTCGAGGTGTCGAGAAGTCGCATCCTCTTCCCCGGCGGAAGGCGGGCAGAAGTAAGACGGGCGGCTGCCCCGTTGGCAGAAGGCGGCGGACGCACTCACAAGCCGTTCAAGATGTGCAAAATTTCCAGGGCCCAGGCTCTCCAGCTCGCTCCGCTTCCTTGCCTTTCCCAGCCCTCCTGGCACAGTGGCCCTTCCGTTGGCCGCACACTCGGGGCAGTGATCTCCTTGTGCGCCACGTGCGCCACGTGCGCGCGACCGTGCACTCCCGGACTCTGGTGGCGAGGGCGGCTCTCCTCTGTCCCAGGCTCGCCTTGAGGAGCACCCCCCCCATTCGTGTACAGGTGCCCCCACGGGGCGCTGGAGGAGGAGGGCGGGGCGCCGAGGGAACACCAAACTGGGGGGCAGCATCGGTTTTCGAAGGCACCCCGAGGAGCTACCGTCCTGAGCACCGCCTGGCGACGCACCTGCCAGAGAGCTTTTTCACAGCGAGCCCGGAATCGTTCTTTGGCCGAGCTCATTTCGTCGGGCACCTCGGGAAGAAACTGCTCAAGAGTGGCCGGATGTCACGTCGAGGCCGGATCCTGACGTCTTGAGCGAGGACGGGTCCTCGATGTGTTGCCCTCGAGAGGCGAAGTTTGTGAGGCCAGACGCGGGCGGCAGCGGCACCAAGACAGCACTCGCGGGAGACATTCGGTGAAGGAGGCGGGCCTCGACGGGCATGATGGCCCCCCCCCAGTCGCCAAAGCATGGCTGTGCTTGGCAATGCTCAAACGAGACATGATGCGTTGCAGCGACGTTTGCCCCGACGCACGGCTTTACCTTTTGGGGAGGGCGCCGCGGACACCAGGGCAAACGCCGCCTCGGGCGCGGCGGGTTCGCCGTGGTCTTGCCGCGGTGCCCGCGTCGTCTACTTGGGCGCGGGGCGCAGGGTTTGCCGTGGGTTGGCTGTGGAGTCGGCGTCGTCCACTTGGGCGCGTCGAGGACAAACGGCGCAACGACATATCTTGCTTTGGACGTGGGTTCAGTTCGCTGATCCTCAAGTGCATTGCCAGAAGTGTAGTAATGATCAGGGAAGCGTCCGTGCTGAGACCTTCACGTGCAGAGGAGAGTGGCCAGTGATGAAACGTGGAGTTGATCCGTATGAGCGGACACCCTCCAGCTTCAACTTAGCAAGAGTTGTTCCTCCCGCCTCTCGCTACACTGTTTTTTCCCGCAGCTTTCCGTCTTTCCCTCGGAGGAAGGTTTCCTTTCTCCCCTTCCTCCGTCCTCTCGCCATCCTTGAGAAATCTCGCAACTATCTTCTCTCCGAGGCAGACTCCCCCCCAGAGATCCCTCGCGAGTCGTGTCAGAGGCAGAAGATTGTGAAACATGTCCGCACTGTGTTCAAAGCGTTGGAGGTATGGGTCTTCTTCCCCTAATGTGGCTGTTCGGTCGGATCATACGGGGACGCACGCTCCACAATGTGATACGTGGCACCCCGCAGATGCGGATAAGAGTGAGGGGGCGGTGGGGACGTCGGCAGTTTGCGAGACTCTGGAGAAGCCCGCCGCAGGCGCCAAATTTCCACAAATTATACAACGAGCCTGCCACAGGCGCCGATGTTTTCGTCAAACCATTGTGGGTAGGTCGCGGGTGGGTCGCAAATGGGTCGCGGGTGGGTCGCTGTTGGGTCGCGGGTGGGTCGCGGGTGTAGAGGACAACCCCGACAAGCGAAGCCATTTAGTAAACGCACAGAAAGGATGAATCGAACAGGGCAGGGCTGTTTAGTCAACGCCCAGGGCCGTTCAGTAAACGTCAATGATCGGGTCTGGGTCCCTTGAGGGTGGGTCGCGGGGTGGGTCGCGGGTGGGTCGCGGAGTGGGTCGCGGGTGGGTCGCGGGTGGGTCGCGGATGGGTCGCGGGTGGGTCGTTGGTGGGTCGCGGGGTGGGTCGCGGGTGGATCGCGGGTGGGTCGCAGGGTGGGTCGTGGGTGGGTCGCGGGGTGGGTCGCGGGGTGGGTCGCAGGTGGGTCGCGGGTGGGGCGACGACAACGAAAACAACATCAACAACAACACCAAGAACAACAGCAGCAACAACAACAATAACAACAACGCAACAATCATAATTCTCACCACGAATTCCTTATTCAGCCACGCACGCAGGGACAATGAATGACCGTTCGGCCCCATCACTCCGACTTCTGCACTGGCATATCGTTGTCTCAACTTCGCGCTCAGTGTGCACTTGGTTTTCGTGATGCGAGCGGCACGCGTACGAGCTACAGGACCGACACCTACGCACGTACGTGGATGTTTGCGAAGGAAAACTGTGTCCCCTCCTCCTCCTCCTCCTCGTCCTCCTCCTCCTCCTCGTCCTCCTCCTCTTCCTCCTCCTCGTCCTCCTCCTCCTCCTCCTCGTCCTCCTCCTCCTCCTTCTCCTCCTCTCTCCCTCCTCCTCGTCTCCTCATCCTCTTCTTCTCCTCCTCCTCTTCCTCCTCCCTCCTCCTCCCTCCTCCTCCTCCTCCTCCTCCTCCTCCTCCTCCTCCTCCTCCTCCTCCTCCTCCCCCCCTCCGAGGAGAAGTGCCCGCAGCTCGGCGGCGAGCCGGCCCTCCTGGGCATCGGGGCCTGCGTGCTGCTGCTCGGCGCCTGCGAGGAGCAGCCGAGCTCATGCTTTGAGGCCGGCTGGGCCCACCGAGGCCCCATCCTTCAGAGGAGGATGAGGCACCCGTGTTGCTGCCCTTGTCTCGTTCTCGCTGGGAGGCCATCGTCGCCACCGCTGGATTCGCTCCGAGATTCTGGTCAGAACGCTCTCCGGGAGAGGTCCAGGGAGTGGCGGTATGGGTACCTTTTGGTCTCCCCATTCGAAGGCCCCCTGCTTCCCCCCTTTTACCCCTTCCCTTTCCACGCGCTTGCACAGCACGAGTGCTACTCTCCTCTCTTTCTTTCTCTCTCTCTCTCTCTCGCTCTCGCTCTCGCGAGCGAGCGTCGCTACCGACTACCGTCAGGCAGCGATCGATTGATGGTCGGGGCGTTCAGCGGAGTGACAGCTGAGCGACGTCCGCGGGCGAGAGTTCGCTCGCCCGTGTCCGGGCGGTGCGGAAGGCGGGCGACGCCTTCCTCTCCTGTGCGTGACACAGAGAAGTGATGCCCCTCTCTGGATATGTTTGGCCTGTGGGGGCGCTAAGACAAGGCTCCAAAGCCGACAAGTCACAAAACCATCCTTGGGGACCCCAGAGGTCCTTCGGAGCTGGGCCACAATCAGACCCATCTCCTGGAATCCTCCAGGGGGGCCCAGGAACCTCCACGAATGCCCAGTGGCCAGAGGACGGGCTCCAGAGTGCCACGGGAACTCGCCGGATGCCGCAGGGGATGCCAGGAAAACCGAGGAAACCCGAGGAGCCCCCTTAAGGCCCCAAGGAGTCCCCCCAGGGAGCCCCAGAACCTCCATGAAGCCGCGCGCTGTTGTGAACAACGGGTAAAACACAACGGGCAAACTCTGCAGCGGGAGCACTGGTTCAAAAATATAGAGAGGTGTCCGCACCAAAATCATGATATCTTGTGTGGGAGAAGCCATCACGCCAGAGAAGGTGGATACCGCGAGGATCGGATCATCGGATACAGAAACATAGCTATGTGTATGTATATGTCTATAAAGAGGGTGTAAACAAAAATATGTTGGCGAAGGACCAAACCATATGCAGTTGTGGGTGCCGCAATTGTGAATATCTGTTTCGGTGAAGCTCCCTATGGGGCCACGAAGCGCTGCACTGGGTGAGGGGGAACGCATGCGGGCGGTAGCACTGGAGCCGTCGGTGCAGCTCCCTATGGGCCACGAAACGTTGTACTGGGTGGGTGGAACTGCCAAATTGGGTGTGTGGGACGCACGCGGACAGTCCCACTGGGGGCTTCGGTGGAGCTCCCTATGGGGCCGCGAAGCGCTGCACTGGGTGTGCGAAAATGCCAAATTGTGCTTCCGGGACGCAGTCGGACGGTCCCACTGGGGGCGCCGGTGGAGCTCCCTATGGGGCCACGAGCCGTTATACCGGGTAGGCGACAATGCCAAAGTGCGCGTGCGGGACGCATGCGGGCGTTCCCAATGGGGGTTTCGGTGGAGCTCCGAATGGGGCCACGAAGCGTTGTACTGGGTGGGTGAAACTGTCAAATTGCGTGTGCGGGACGCATGCGGGCGGTCCCATTGGGGGTTTCGGTGGAGCTCCGAATGGGGCCACGAAACGCTGTACTGGGTGGGTGAACATGTCAAATTCGGTGTGTATGTGTGTGTGTATGTGTGCGTGTGCGTGTGCGTGTGTGTGTGTGTGTGTGTGTGTATGTGTGTGTGTATGTATGTATGGGCCGCATGTGGGCGGTACACTGCGGGCTTCGGTGGAGCGCCCTATTGGGGCCACGAAGCGCTGTACTGAGCGGGTGAAAATGTGAAATTGCGTGTGCGGGACGCACGCGGACGGTCCCACTGGCCACGAAATGCCGTACTGGGTGTGGCGGACGCATGTGGTACCCCCCCCGCGGCCTTACGTTGAGCTCCCTATGGGGCCACGAAGCGCCGTGCTCGGTGTGGCGGACGGATGTGGTACCCCCTCCGTGGGGCCTTAGGTGGAGCTCCCTATGGGGCCACGAAGCGCCGTACTGGGTGTGGCGGACGCATGTGGTACCCCTCTCCGTGGGCCTTACGTGGAGCTCCCATATGGGGCCACGAAGCGCTGTGCAGGGTTTGGCGGACGCATGTGGTATCCCCCCCCTCTGGGGCCTTCGGTGGAGCTCCGTATGAGGCCACGAAGCGCCGTATTGGGCGTGGCGGACGCATTTGGTACCCCCCTCCTTGGGGCCTTACGTGGAGCTCCCATGTGGGGCCACGAAACGCCGTACAGGGTGTGGCGGGCGCATGTGGTATCCCCCCCTTTGGGGGCCTCAGGTGGAGCTCCCTATGGGGCCACGAAGCGCCGTACTGGGTGTGGCGGATGCATGTGGTACCCCCACCCTCTGGGGCCTCAGGTGCGGCTCCTAATGGGGCCACGAAACGCCGTCCTGGGTGGGTGAAACGCATGGAGGGGGGAGGAGGGGGAGGGGGACGAGGGAGGAGGGGGAGGAGGAGAAAGAGGAGGAGGAGGAGAAAGAGGAGAAAGAGGGGGAAGAGAAGGAGGAGGAGGAGGAGGAGGAGGAGGAGGAAAAGAAGAGGAGAAGGAGGAGGAGGAGGAGGAGGAGCAGGAGGAGCAGGAGGAGTGAGGAGTAAGGAGTGACTGGGTGGGTCGCGGGGCGCTGTCTCTTCAAAACGAGGACCCGGCACCACAGGATGGATGGGGAAAATACAAGGAGAGAAACAAAGAGAAAGAGAGAGAGAGAGACAAACGGACATAGAGAGAGAGACAGAAAGAGGGAAAGCGAGATGCAAAGAGAGAGAGAGAGAGAGACAGAGAGAGAGAGATAGAGAAAGAGAGAGGGAGAGAGGAAGAAAGAGAGACAGAGAGAGAGAGAGAGAGAGAACAAAAGACATAACCTGGCGAAGGGCCCAACCATATGCAGTTGTGAGTACCGTCTTTGTGAGCAACGCATTCGGTGGAGCTCCCTATGGGGCCACGAAACGCTATGATGGGTGTGGTGGACGCTTGCGCCCCCTCCCCCACCGGGGCATTCGGTGGAGCTCCCTATGGAGCCACGAAGCGCTGTGCTGGGTGTGGCGGATGCATGCGCCCCCCTCCACTGGGGCCTTCGGTGGAGTTCCCTATGGGGCCACGAAGCGCTGTGCTGGGTGGCGGCGGACGCATGCGCCCCCCTCCACTGGGTCTTCGGTGGAGCTCACTATGGGGCCACGAAGCGCCGTGCTGGGTGTGGCGGACGCATGCGCCCCCCCCATTGGGACCTTCGGTGGAGCTCCCTATGGGGCCACGAAGCGCTGTGCTGCGTGTGGCGGGCGCGTGCGCCCCCCCCCCCCCCCACACTGGGGCCTTCGGTGGAGCCCCTATGGGGCCACGAAGCGCCGTGCTGGGTGTGGCGGATGCATGCGCCCCCCTCCACTGGGGCTTTCGGTGGGGCTCACTATGGGGCCACGAAGCGCCGTGCTGGGTGTGGCGGACGCATGCGCCCCCCCCCTGGGACCTTCGGTGGGGCCCCCTATGGGGCCACGAAGCGCTGTGCTGGGTGTGGCGGACGCATGCGCCCCCCCCCCACACTGGGGCCTTCGGTGGAGCTCCCTATGGGGCCACGGAGCGCTGTGTTGGGTGTGGCGGACGCATGCGCCCCCCTCCACTGGGGCCTTCGGTGGAGCTCCCTATGGGGCCACGAAGCGCTGTGCTGGGTGGTGGCGGACGCATGCGCCCCCCCCATTGGGGCCTCCGGTGGGGCCCCCTATGGGGCCACGAAACGCTGTGCTCGGCGTGGCGGACGCATTCGCCCCCCTCCACTGGGGCCTTCGGTGGAGCTCCCTATGGGGCCACGAAGCGCCGTGCTGGGTGTGGCGGACGCATGCGCCCCCCCCCCCCTCCCACTGGGGCCTTCCTGGGGCCTTCGGTGGAGCCCCCTATGGGGCCACGAAGCGCCGTGCTGGGTGTGGCGGACGCATGCGCCCCCCTCCACTGGGGCTTTCGGTGGGGCTCACTATGGGGCCGCGAAGCGCCGTGCTGGGTGTGGCGGACGCATGCTGGCTGTGCCACTGGGCCCTTCGGTGAAGCTCCCTATGGGGCTATCAAACGTGTGGGAGGTGTGCCGAGAGCAAAGGCAAGGAGGGGGAGGAGGGGGAGGAGGGAGGAGGGAGGAGGGAGGAGGGGGAGGAGGAAGGAAGGAAGGAGAGACGCGGGGCACCGTCTCTTCAAAACGAGGACCCAACACCACAGGATGGTTGGGAAAAAGAGAGAACAACATAAAGAGAGACTGAACGAAAGAGAGAGAGAGAGAGAGAGAGAAAGAGACAGAGAGGGAGAGGGACATAGAGAGAGGAAAAGAGAGATGAGGGAGAGGGAGGGAGAGCGAGAGAGAGAGAGAGGGAGAAAGAGAGAGAGAGAGAGAGAGTTGACAAGGAACGCGCGCACGCACCCCTCCCTATCAGCAGGATTGCTGGGGGTGGAACGCTCCTGCGTGCGCTCGCGACGCCTGTGGTTCAGCCCCCATGCTTACTTCGGTTGCGCCCGAGAGTGAGTTCCACTGGGTTTACCCCCACGCGGCCTCTTGAAATCTGCTCGGCGAAGGACCCAACCATATGCGGTTGTGAATGCCGCAATTGTGCTGGGCGGTGGCGGACGCATGCGGGCGGTGCCACTGGGACCTTCGGTGGAGCTCCCTATGAGGCCACGCAGCGCTGTACTGGGTGTGTGAAACCAGGGAGCAACGGCTGTGCTGGGTGGTGGCGGCCGCATGCGGGCGGTGCCACTGGGACCTTCGGTGGAGCCCCCTTATGGGGCCACGCATCGTTGTACTGGGAAACGCAGGGAGCAAGGACTGTGCTGGGTGGTGGCGGACGCATGCGGGCGGTGCCACTGGGACCTTCGGTGGAGCCCCCTTTATGGGGCCACGAAGCGCTGTACTGGGTGGGCGAAACGCAGGGAGCAAGGGCTGTACTGGGTGGTGGCGGACGCATGCGGGCGGTGCCACTGGGACCTTCGGTGGAGCCCCCTTTATGGGGCCACGAAGCGCTGTACTGGGTGGGTGAAACGCAGGGAGCAAGGACTGTGCTGGGTGGTGGCGGACGCATGCGGGCGGTGCCACTGGGACCTTCGGTGGAGCCCCCTTTATGGGGCCACGAAACGCTGTACTGGGTGGGTGAAACGCAGGGAGCAAGGGCTGTACTGGGTGGTGGCGGACGCATGCGGGCGGTGCCATTGGGACCTTCGGTGGAGCCTCCTTTATGGGGCCACCAAAGGTTGTACTGGGTGGGCGAAACGCAGGGAGCAACGGCTGTACTGGGGGGTGGCGGACGCATGCGGGCGGTGCCATTGGGACCTTCGGTTTATGGGGCCACGAAACGTTGTACTGGGTGGGTGAAACGCAGGGAGCAAGGGCTGTACTGGGTGGTGGCGGACGCATGCGGGCGGTGCCACTGGGACCTTCGGTGGAGCCCCCTTTATGGGGCAACGAAACGTTGTACTGGTGATTGAAACGCAGGGAGCAAGGGAGGAGGGAGAGGAGGCAGGGGGAGGAGGAGAAGAGGAGAGGAACGCAGGGACCGTCTCTTCAAAACGAGGACCCAACACCACAGGATGGTTGGGAAATAGTGTGAATATGACATACGCCGCATCTGGCACATCTCGTTGTGCGACATTGAGCGTTTGGGCCTCGCGCCGCGATTGAAATCTCACGCGTCGCTGCACGATTGGTCAGAGGTCAAGCGTGTCGCTCTATGCGGGGTGGCGCATGCGCGCCTCATCGGCAACGGACTGCAGTTTTTCGCGCTAGGGTCGGACCGCGGCGCCAAGCATATTCTTCCCGCGACTGGGCGGCGCTCGAGCGCGCAGGGGAGGAGCCGCGCGACTCACCAGCGGAGCTCTCGGAACGCAATTTCCGCTGCGCGACTAGGCGCTGCGCGACTAGGCGCGCGTTCAGAAACTTTGGAGCCGTAGTCTACCAGGATATTAGGCAGCTTGCTACTAGCAGTGTCCAGCCCCCCAAGCAGTTCGGTGGGCCTCCTGCCGCCTGCAGCGCTCGGCGTGGAGACCGCGGCAGGCTTCGCAGGACAACCCCACGCGGCGGGCGGGGGCGGCGGTGTGGCAGTGGACGGTACCGGATAGAGGGGGCCAGGGCAGGTGGCGCGCTTGCATAAGCAACAGCCGCGCCTCGCGGTCTCACGTTCGGCGTTGCCGCCACGGCCTCGGGCTTCTCCGATGACGTCCTCGAGCTATATTTGGAGGCGCTAGGAGACACGTGGGGTAGCACCGCCGTGAGCAAGGTGTACGACAGCTTCGACAGCGACCTGCACACGCTCCTTGGGGCACACTGTCAGAGCCGACTGCGTGCGGAGACGGGGGGCAGCCAAACCGGCTCGCGCCTTTTGGAATCAGCCACGTGGCACTGTGCCCATAGCAGCGGCGTCAGCCACGCTCCGTGACCTGGAGATCGGTACCAGGCACAAGGGATTGCGCATTTGCTTGAAAGGCGGGGCCATTTGGCCCGTAAGTCCCATGGTGGCCTTGTGCGCGCTAGCCCTGGGGAACAAACCTAGATGGCCTAGATGCGCATGCCAGCTGACTCCGCATGGGCTGATAGCAGGGAAGCACCTCGCAGTGACAAGGTAAACCGACCATCCCTTTACGCACTACGCCCTTTCGGCTGGACGCAAGCCGCTGGGCGACGAGGTAGCTGCCTGCCCCCTGTTCGTCGGTGCGCGCGCCTTCGGGCCCACTTCCTCTCGTAAGGGGGAGACCAGGGGTGCCGGTTGCTTGCCATTGCGACCCGCCTGCGTGCGGCGTGCACCGCGCACTTCCTGGATCCATGACTCCATGACTCGTCCTGCTTCTCCTCCTCCTTTTCCTCCTCCTTCTCCTCCCCCTCCACCACCACCTCCACCACCTCGTCCCCCTCCCCCCCGCCCTCGTAGGCCTCCTGACCCTTCTTCCCCCCACCTCGACCCCCTCTTTCCCCTCCTCCTTTTCCTCCTCCTTTTCCTCCTCCTCCTCCTCCTCCTCTTCCTCCTCCTCCTCCTGATCCTCCTTCCCCCCCCCGCCTTCGCTCCTCTGCCCCGAAGCTCCCCCCCGCCGCATTCCGGCATCCCCCCCTCGTAGACCTCCCGCGGCGCCTCCCGCCGCCGCCGCCTCCGCCGCCGCGCAGGTGCACGCCGTCCAGGGCGGCAAGGCGCCGCGGTGGAACCTCAAGGGAGATCAGGGGAGGAGAAGGCACCGAAGTTCTGCTACCCTTCCTTCGTGCTCGCCTTTTTGGGCCTCTTGGGAGGTCCCCCTCGCCACTGTTGGGTTCGCCTCGAGACTATGGTCAGAACGCACCGTGGGAGAGGTCCGGGGAGGAGAGGTACGGGTACATTCTGGCTTCAGGAGAGAACACGTGGTGCTCCAACTGGGAGCAGATCCACATCGGCACCATCGACGAGGTCGGTGGCCTCGCCTGGTGGGGGAGGGAGGGGCGGAGGGGGCCGGCCTTCTCCGAAGGCGGCGGGCCTTCTCGGACGCCTTCGCGCCTTCTGAGGCGCTGTCTGTGGCTTCGGAGAGAGGTTTAGATGGCCGTTCAGAAGGCGCCAGGACTTCTGAAAAGCACCGCCGCGTTCTGAGAAGGCGGGTCCTCTGCCATCACCCCCCCCGGGCGCGCCGCCGACAAGGACAAAGCGTTCAACCAGAACGATTGCGGTATCGCTGGTGCAAAACTGTGTGCGCGCGTGCTGCCGTTGTGGCCGCCAGGATGGGGGTGGTCGTCGCCACACGTGAATTCGGTTCGGAGGAATTGCCTCACGTCTGGGCCCGACCAGCGCCAAAGTGATCCCGGCCCAAACATGGGCACAAGGGGAGGAAAACGAGGATGAAGGGAAGGGGTGGTATTTTTTCCTCCCCAGACGTCCCCAGAGGTCCCCAAAGGCCCGAAAATGGGTCGAAAACGTCGAACAACCGTCCGTAAACTTTCGGAATCTCTCCTCGATTTTCGAGCAGGGCCGAAGGCGAAACTTCCGCGCCGCCGATCCTGACCCGGAGGCCCCTGGATGCCCCCAAAGGCGCAGAAGGGGGCCAAAGAGATGCCCAGAGGAGGGAGGGTGGCTGAGCCCGCAGCTGGGGAGGAGGAGCCTCGATCTGTTTGGAGCGGGGGCGACGACGACGACGAAGTCCAGAACGACGTCCACGACGACGTCCACGACGGCATCCACGACGACGGCGACGATGACAATGACGACGACGACGACGTCGACGACGACGACAACCTCGTCCACGTCCACGTCCACGTCCATGTCCACGACGACGGCCAAGACGACGACGACGACGACGACGACGACGACGACGACGACCACGACGACGACGACGACGACGACGACGACGACGACGACGACGACGACGACGACGACGACGACCACGACCACGACCACGACCGCTGCGGCGGCGGCGGCACGTCTGCGGAGAGAGAGACCCCAGACCACCTCGCGTTGCAAAAAGACCACAACTGGAGGTTTTTCGCTATTTTCGGCTTCCAGGGGGCTTTGGGACTGGACCATGAAAAAACGACTCGGGACGCGAAGCTGGTCCCGAGGAAGGGGTCCAGATCTCAGGGGGTCGACGTTGCGAAAAATCACAACGTCGGGGGTCTGGGAAACGCACCTCCACCCACCACCTGGCCTAAGTCGGGTCACAGTCAAGACACTGAAATAAGCAGCAATTAGGGTTCGGAAGGGGCTCGATGTTCCTCAGGGTCCTGCTATTGCTGTTTCTTTGCCGCGCCTCGTCCACGCAGGGGCGTTCGGGGGCCCGACAGGGGCTTCGTTGCTGACTTAGCGTTCCTTCTTCCAGCAGCCCGACTGCATCAGAAGAACACGCGGACGGGGGCTCGTACTCGGGGCGTGCCCCCTCGCCCTCCCCGGTCGCCTGGCCCTGGGGAGCGGGACGGCGGGCGGGAGAGGGGGAGGAGTCGGTGGGGGGGGGGGGGGAGCGGATCGGGATCGTGGGGCGGAGGGCGGCAGGGGGGATGGAGGAGGGGGGAGGGGGGTCAGGGAGGGGGGGTTCGGGGGGGGGGAGGGGGGTCAGGGGGGAAGGGAGGGGGGCCAGGAGGGTGTCAGGGAGGGGGGGAGGGGGGGACGGGAGCGTTTTGAGCTCTCCCTCCCTCCCTCTTCCCTGCCTCCTCATCCCTCCCTCTCTTCTCTGTCCTGCCTCCCTCCCTCCTTTGCTTCCTCCTCGTGCCTCGCGCCTCCTCCCTCCGTTCCCCCCTCTCAAATCCCTCCTCCCTTCTCTCTCCCCCCGGCCGCCCCACGGAAACCAATGCGACCTGAATGCGACCGCCCGCTGCTGGTTGGCGGTTAGATAGCTGGACACATTTTCGTTGGAGCGGGTGGACCGGGCTCCCGCCTTTTGAAGGTTTGCACGGGCCTCGTAGCTGTGACGCGCAGGACAACGCTGGGGTTTCACCCCAAGAGCGCCAGTAAGCAAAATCCGCGTTCATGGCAGTAGCTGCTGCTCTTCACTCACGGGCTCCCCAAAATGACCAACACCTCTCTGTCCGAAATGTTTTCCCAAAATCCCTCTCCACTGGGGCGCTCTGAAGTGGCATTGGGCACTCCCGATGCTTGGTGTTGTTGAGATTACGTGCGTTCGTTCCCCTCCCCTGTAAGAGCACGCATCCTCAAGGCACCGAGTGCTCGCAGAGATCGGATTGCACTGGCTTTGCCTACCAGGGAGAGGCCTGCAAAGACCACCGCGACAACGCCGTCCGTGACCACACGTGCGCGCTCTTCGGAAAGGGAACGTGCACCAAGGTTGTAGACAGCTGCTGGGACTTGTACAGCATGTCGGGTAAACCTTCGCTGCCGTCAACCGAGTTGATTGAGGTCGCCATCTCTGGTGATAACATGCTCTTCGTGAAGAGGTCAGAGGCATTCCAGGTCGGTAACCAGATCACCATCACAGGGACTGGGTTCAGTGGTCACAAAGAGAGAGCGGTGGTCAAAGCGATCGACGGCAACGAGATTATGTTGGACTCGCAACTCGGATTTTCCTATCGCCCGGGTGCCGAGGTGGCGGTTGAGGCGATCAAGGTCACTGAGGCTTGCCCAGTCAAAATGGGTGGGGTGTTTGCGTATGCCACATAGGGAACATACGGATATTCAAGAGGCTTGTGCCATTCCGCCAACTCCCAAAAGGTGGATGGGTGAATGACATTATTTTTGCTTGCTGTATCCCCAGCAGCCCGTTTAGTAATAACGCCTAGGCGATGAGTCGGGAGCAGGGAAGTATATCAGAAATGCAGGGACATAAAGGCTAACAATGCTGAGCTTAGGCAGCTCTGGGAGCGTCTTGGGGCTTCGGGTCCTTCTTGTGTGCCTCTTGAGCCGTCTTGGGGCGAGAGAGAGAGAGAGAGTGGCTCTCGGGCCGCCCTGGAGCGCTGGACACCCGAAACGGCGACGATGCTAAGATCATTCAGGGGGTTGGGCATGTTGAAACGCTCCTGATGCGACTCGGGTTCCTCGTGGACCGTCTTGGGGGCCTCCTGGACCGTCAACATTCAGGACGGAGGATTCAAGAGACCTGGGTACACACCAAGCCGTGCCTGGCGATACGGTGGTGGATATGTATGTGTATGCCTGTATTTTGATAGATGTACAAGACGGCATTAGCGCTTCGCGCCATGCACCTTCGTCCTTGAAGTTTGGCATGAAGGCGGAATGGCAGGAAGGTCAAACAGACAACTTAGCGATTTGTGTGTATGCGTATATAGATCGAACTGACGACCTTGTTACGGGCCCGGCCCACTTTTGAACAACAAACACCCACGCCGTAACCCATTGCCCCCCTGGGGAGAGCATGTTGTTAAGCATGAGTTGATTGCCAATGAGAGCGTTGAGAGGAAGATCGGTTGGATTCGTCAGTGAACTTGCTTCGATCTATGATGTGGAAGCTTGGATGCTTCTTGGGGAGGCCGTGCGGCTGGTTCTGCTGATGTTGAAGGAAATCAGGAGGCCATAGAAGGCCGCGAGGGAGCCGAGAAGCGCACGAAAGCAGGCTGACGATTTTCCCAGAACGGCTTGAAAAGCACCTCGAGATTGGAGCAGAAGCAGAATACCGTGCCACCTCTATCTAGAGGTTTTCGGCTGCTTCTTTTAGCCAGCCCGAGCCCACACCGTTCCGCCTCCAGCGGTTCTTTTTGGAGCCATTAGGAGACCAAAAGGTTTCCAACATAGTTCAGCAGGATACACATGAATTGCCAAGGCAGTTCAGGATGGCCCCGAACGCGTCAAGATGATTCCAGGACGGCCCTGATGAGACCATACTGTGCCTGAAGGCAGGGTCCAACAAGCTCCAAGGGAGACTCAATGCAACCTCAATTTGTGGTAGGCCTTCTGTGTTACATTGCCTTTAGCTACATGACTTTTCCCTTCCAGATTCCTCTAGAAGCGTTCTCTAGGGGGCTACACTATTGCTCCACAGCGCCCGACGACATCCCCAAGGCGTCCCCAGAACGCCTCAGTGGGTCTCCAAGATGGCCCAAGAAAGCATCCGAAAGAGGCCCAGATTGCCCCGAGACGGCCTAAGAGAGCGCCACGACGGCCCCAAAAAGCTACAACGCCCACGACAGCCCAAGAACCCCACGCCACTAGAGATTCCTAGAGGCCTCCAGGAGGTTCTAACGAGCCCTCCAGAAGGCCTCAAGACGCCCCCATACACTCGAACACTCTGGGAATGTGTCTACGAAGCCCCTACTCCAAGTCGGTCCGCTTCATTTCCAGTATCCACCGAGACCAGCTCTGAACAGTTCGAGGGCTCCCCTATGGGTGTCCCCTCTGCATCCGAGTCAGCGGGCCTTTTTTTCATCTTTCTGCCTGACGAGGAACATGCACCGAGTGCGTTCTGAAGTTCTGATGTCAGTTCGGTTCTGCGCTTCCAGCTGCTCAGTGCGATGCGTCGGGTCCGCGGGCCTTCTTTCATGCCCCCTCCTGAGCCGCGCCTGGCCAGGAGCATGTACCCAGCGCTTTCCGATGCTGGGGAAACAGGCCAGTTGCGCGAGCATGTCGAAGTTTCGTGCGCCTTCTGTGGTGAACCAGCTTGTCGTGATGGCGCGTGCGCAGCGCGCGCTGTCTTCGTTTAGTGAGTACATATATATATACATATACATATACATGTGTGTACATACATATATACATACATACATACATGCATACATACATACATACATACATACATACATACATACATACAGACTGACAGGCAGACAGACAGACAGGCATACATACATACATACATACATCCGTAGCCATGTTGGTTCAAGCCAGGCTCAAGCCAGGATGTGCTACTCAATTCGCATTAATTGATGTTTTGCGTTCGCTTTGTTCTTGCCCTGCCGCTGCTGGGTATCCGCATTGCCCTTGTCGCGGCGCAGCTGTCTATTCATTTCCTCATAGTGCAGTTGATTGGTGAGGAGTTCGCTTCCACTGCTCTGGCACTTCAGCGGACGGGAGTTCTGTATCGGCCACTGGCCGCCCTCAACGACTTGGCCAATAGGGCGAAACATCGGGGGTTCCTTGGATGGTGGCCATCTTGGATGTCTCTTCGCCGAGCGAGGTCCAAGCGCAGCAAGCAGTCCATGCCTATCCCCATATCGATCTTGGAGGCTCTGGAGCGAGACGGTGTTTTTGGTTCACTTTCGAATTCTGGATTGTCCCCTTCTGCTTCGCCGTTTGTTCCCTGTGATCAATTACAGTCAAATCAATTGATGCAAGCTCGTGTCGAGTCTCAAAATTCTACAATGTCTGGCCTGATCCAGGAGCTGGAGGATGCACGTGCCCATTCTTCCTTGCATGTCCCGTCACAGGCTAACCATGGCGCTACGGCACTCAATACTCTTGATGCTCGGGTGGACACTGTCACGATATCTCTTCAGAAGTGCTCTGCGGACATCAAGAGGCTGGCCAACTCGATGGGGAAGTCCATCGACGCTTGGCTAGATCGACGCTTGGAGGATCGGCTGGGCGCGCATGCGCAGAAGGTGCAGCAGGAGGTTATGAAGGCTGTGGATCAAGTGCTGGTGAAGGTGAAGCAGCTGGGCACTTTCGTGCCAGGCTCTCCGCACGATACTTCTGCTGCCGCCTCTGGCGGCCCCCCCGCCGCGCGTGCCCCTGATGATGGAGGCTCTCAGCCGAGATTGACTCGCCGGCAGAGGCGAGCAGCCCGACTGGCCAGCCCGACCATTGCGAGGCACGTCGAGGCCGCTGCTGCAGATGGGACGTGCGTCACACAGAGTGCGATGGACACGGAGTGCGAGCAGTCCATTTCTCGGTGCGCGTCCTCATCCGCTGGGTCGGGCTGCTCCCTGGGCGCGAACGCCTCCGCTGAGAGGACAGAGGTGCAGGCTCCAGAGGCCGATCTGACACATTTTGTCCGTCATGAAATCAACCTCGACTGGTGGACTCAAAAGCTCAATAACATGTCCGTGGAAGGGGTTGAGTTGGGGGCTCTGGCAGCAGCGGATTGCGACACGGATTGTGATGTACCAGCCCCAACGCCAGCTCCGACACCAGTCCCGTCGCCCGCTCCGTTGGAGCAACAACAGGCGTGCTCTCGCCTTTCTGCGAGCAACACATCTTCTACGTTCAGTGCTGGCTCTCGCCATTTTGGCACCACACCAAAGTCAAAGAAAGCGAATCTGGGATCTTCGAGGACTTCTGAGAAGGCTGCCGCCGTCCTGTGGGAAAGGTAGGCCTTTTTTAAGCCCTTGGGATCCTGCTGTGCGCCTCATGTACGAGTGATACATACATACATACATACACACACATATATATACATATATATATATATGTATATGAGTAGGCCGGGGGGGGGGGGGGTGGGGTGGGTGGGGTGGGTGGGGGGGGGGGTGGGGGGGGGGGGGTGGGGGGGCAAAAATCAGTGCCGTCATCCCCCATGGCCGCCCCCCCGAACCTTTGGGGGGTCATAGACCTCCCGGGATTGCCCCGGGCCGCTTCCAAATTGCCCACGACAGGCCACGCGGGCCGTACAGATGGTCAAGAAAGCCTGAAGAGGCCCCGAAGACGCCCAAAGGCGCCCCAAGAGGATCCGTGAGGGCCCCAAGAGGGCTTTCAAGAGGCACAAATCTGACCATTTCCTTACTAAAACGTACTTTTTAGGAATACTCGCTGGCTTCGTCTTCACAGTGCCCCAGACGCCCCCGCGGAGCCCCAACACAGCCCAAGAGAGACCGAAGAGGGCCCTAGACGGCCCAAAAGGGTCGTCCTGTGGGGCTGACGGAGCCCCCCGAGACGGCCCAAGAGGCCCGAAAGCCGGCCCAGGAGGCCCCCAAGACGGCCTCAGGGATGCCCAAGAGGCCTCGTTCGAAATCATGTTCCCGGAAGCCTCTCCGGGAACATGATTTTCGGGTTCCGAGGACGCCCAAGAGGCCCACAAGACAGCCTCAGCGAGGCCCAAGAGGGCCCGAGATGGCTTGAAGATGGCCGAAGCTAGAGGGCCCCGAGTGGGCCTTCAAGAGGCAAACATCGGCCCATTTCTTTCGTAAAGCGTGCGTGTTCAGCATACTCGTTGGCTTCGTCGTCGCAGTGCCCCAGACGCCCCCGAGAAGCCCCAAGACAGCCCAAGAGAGACCTAAGAGGGCCCCAGACGGCCCAAAAGGGTCGGCCTGTGGGTCTCACGGAACCCCCCAAGACGGCCCAAGAGGCGCCGAAGCCGGCCCTTGAGGCCCCCAAGACGGCCTCAGAGGGCCCCTCTCGAGATCATGTTCCCGGAAGCCTCTCTGGGAACATGGCTTCCGGGCTCCCAGGGCCCCCTAGAGGGCCCCAGGACAGCCTCAGCGAGGCCCAAGAGGGCCCGAGATGGCTTGAAGATGGCCGAAGCTAGAGGGCCCCGAGTGGGTCTTCAAGAGGCAAACATCGGCCCATTTTCAGCATGCTCGCTTGCTTCGTCTTCGCAGTGCCCCAGACGCCCCCGAGGAGCCCCAAGAGAGACCCAAGAGGGCCCAAGACGGCCCAAAAGGTGGTCGTCTTGTGGGGCTGACGGAACCCCCCGAGACGGCCCAAGAGGCCCCAAAGCCGGCCCCCAAGACGGCCTCAGGGAGGCCTGGCTTCGTTCGAAATCATGTTCCCGGAAGCCTCTCCGGGAACATGATTCCCGGGTTCCCAGGACGCCCAAAGACAGCCCCCAGAGGTCCAGACACGCCGAAGATGGCCTCAGGACGGCCGACGACGCCGCCAAAACGCCCCAAGAGCGCCTCCAGAGGCCCCTCCAAAGGGCCCCAGAAGCTGAAAAGCATGCATTTTCGAATGGTTTTTGAAGCATTCTTGCGCTCTCCCATGTTCCGCCTCCCCACAGTCCCGGACCGCATCAGAGGCCTTTCAGATCGCTCAAAGACGGCCGAAGAGGCTCCCAAGAAAGCCCAGAGACGGCCCAGGAGGCTCCCCAGATAAGTCAAGAGGGCCTCGAGAGCGCCCCGAGAGAGCTCCAAGAGCGACCCAAGAGGGCCCGAAGAGCGCGACATTTCGATGTCTCCGGCCTGAGAGGCTCCTAGGACGCCCCCGGAGGCCGTCAAGAGGCTCCCAAGAAGCGATCGTGAGCCTCCCAAGAGGCCCCCCGGAAGCCCCAATAGGCCCCCAAGGGACCCCCAGCGAAGCCCCCTGCGGGCCCCCAAGACACTTCGGTAAATCGTATTTCCCAGATAGCTTTCCGGGAACATGATTCCTTGGGCTTCCACCCACCGCCCCAACCATATTTCCAATAGGCTTGCCGACAAGGCCAAAAGGCGCCCCTCGGTAAGCCCCCAGAGGCCCCCTCTTAGAGAGCCGAACAAATCATGCTCCCGGAATGTTCCCCGTGAACATGATTCTCTATCTCGGAGTAGGCCCGGGGGGGGGGACGCTGCCTGTTCCCGCCATCGGTGCCCACCAGGGGTTGCGGGGGGGGGTCCAGAGCTCCCGAGGCGGCCCGAGCCCGCCCCGAAGCAGGCCACGACAGGCGAAGGGGGTCCCGAGAGGACCCAAGACGGTCCCACGAGGCCCCGACGACGCCCAAGATGCCCTAAAGACAGCCGACGAGGACTCCAACACGCTCTAGGACGGACTCAAGAGGCTCCCCAAGAAAGCTATGGAAGGCAATATTCGTTCGTTTTCCGAGTGTTTTGGATTTTGGCGTTCTCGTTGTTCCCGCTTTCCAGCGCTCCCCCACGGCCTCGGAAGCCTTTCAGATCGCTCCAAGAAGGCCCACGAGGCCCCGACGAGGGCCCCAAGACGGCCCAGGATGCCCCCCAGACAACCCAAGTGCGGCCCGGGCCCGCCCCGAAGCAGGCCACGACAGGCTAATGGAGGTCCCGAGAGGGCCCTAGACGGTCCCAAGAGGCCCCGAAGACGCCCAAGGTGCCTTCAAGACGGCCGACGAGGACTCGAACACGCGAAGGATTTGGGCGTTCTCGCTTTCCCTGCTTCCAAGTTGTGCCCCTAGAGCTCCCCAAGAGAGGGCCCAGAGGGGGACCGCCAACCGATATTTCGAGGTCCCTGGCCCTAGAGGCCGCCTGAGGGCCCCCGGAGGCCACCAAGAGGCTCCCACGAAGCCCCGTGAGGCGCCCAAGAGGCCCCCAGGAAGCCCCAAGAGACCCCCAAGGGGCTCCCAAGGAACGCCCAAGAGGCCCCCCAACACACCCCAAGAAATCATGTCCCCAGAAAACCTTCCGGGGACATGGTTCATCATGGGCCCGAGAGTTCCCGGAGGCCCCCAAGGGGCCCCAAGGAACGCCAAAGAGACCCCCCAACACAACCCAACAAACCATGTCCCCAGAAAGCCTTCCGGGGACATGGTTCATCATGGGCCCGCGAGTCTCCGGAGGCTTCGCAGTACCATCATGCTACAGGAGAGTTGTCTGGGAAGTTGATTGGGAACATGACTGATCGCCTTCTCGCGGCCCTCCGCAGATCGTTTCGCACAAAGTTGCCCCAAGTGCCCTCGTGAATCGACGACGACGACGAAACGACGAAGACGACGACGACGACGACGACGACGACGACGACGACGACGACGACGACGACGACGACGACGACGACGACGACGACGACGACGACGACGACGACGACCAATAGGCGACGAAGACATTACGACGACGACGACGACGACGACGACGACGACGACGACGACGGCACGCCCCAACAGGCTTCCCAAGACGCCCCAAACCCATGCTCCCAGAAGGCCTTCTGGGAACCCGATTCATTCGTCCTCCGCCCCCCTACACAACAATTTTCCTCGAAGGCCTTTCGGAATGCAGATTGGCATGCGTGGACTGTGGTCCACTACTTCAGTGGAGCAGTGAATTCGTGAAGGCCTGGGGCCTGCTAGAACCTGAGCGCGCGCGATGCACGCGCGATGGTTATAGTATTTATAGGTATGTCTGTCTGTATGTATGTATGCATGTATGTATGTATGGATGTATGTATGTATGTGTGTATGTGTGTATGTATGTATGTGTATGTATTGTTGTATGTGTGTATGTCTATATATGTATGTGTATGTATGTACGCACGATATGTATATATGTAATTGACGTATGTATGTATGTATGTATGCATGCCAGTATGTATGTAGGAATGTATGTATGTATGTATGTATGCATGCATGCATGTATGTATGTATGTATGTATGGATGTCACGCATGTGATGTATGTAATGTATGTATGCATGCATGCATGTATGCATGCATGTCTGTATGTTTGTATGTTTGTATGTGTGTATGGTTGTTTGTATGTATGCATGTATGTATGCATGTATGTATGTGTGTATACATCCATGTGTGCATATGTGTATATTCATGTATATTTCTGCTTACATAAGTGTATACGGATATGCCTGTTTCTTTCAAGGATGAGTATACGTAGACATACATCTACACGTGTGGGCGCTGGCCACCATTTCGGCCGATGCTGCGGCGGTCGGTATTTCGGGTGAACGCGCCGATGTTGGCGAGATCCGGGGCCCCGTGGGGGCCTGATCCCCTCACGCTCCTGGCCACCGCGCTTGCCCACGGCGCCGACGTCGAGCATTCAGGCCCGCGTCTGTGCACATGTGCATGTACAGAGATACAGTCGACTGCACGTAAGAGTGACCTTTCGCCGGAGTGACCTTTGGTGCGGGCCCACTGGGATCCCCCGATCGCCGATCGCGAGGCGGTAAGCAGCGGCTTGCGCGCCCTGGTTTGGCCGCCCCGCGTCCCCCGTTCAGTCGCGCACCAAAGGTCTCTCCCACATCGTCATGAGGCCATCTTGTGGCCCTCTTGGGGCGTCTGGGACCTTCTGGGGCAGTCTTGGGACCTCCTTAGAGGCCTTCTGATAGTCTTGGGGCGAGCTCGGCTGTCGTGAGGCGTTTTGTCTTATGCAGTTGAAGTGCTGTTGGTCGTTTTTTAGTTGGAGTGACAGTTTTGATTACTTGTTGCCCTCTCGGAGGGGCCGCTTTAGGGGAACGGCATCTCCACACAGTAATTCGTTTTGGGAACTTGCCCCAATTTGGCTCTGCAGAGGTGGGGGCAGTGGCCGGCCCCAGCAACACTCAAACACCCGTACCAGGCAGCAGAGAAGCAGTCTAACACGCCCCAACGTGCACAAGGCGTAAGTCGGGTCTGTCCCTCTACAGAGGGGATATTCAAAAATAGTAAAACAACATGTCGGAGGACGATTTTTGGAGTACGTTTCGACCATTTTGGGGTTTTTGCTGACTATGTTTTATTTGTCGTCCAAAATCCCCCTGTAGGAGGACAGGCCCGACTTAACATAACACAAGGCACGGTGGCGGGTCATGTTTCTAGTCAGGAGCGCACGAAGAGCATATGGCACGGGCGATAGCACGCTGAATTGTGCAGCACTCAGCTCGGTCGCCAATCGTCGGCCACAGCTAAGATCGCTGGGATGACGTTTCGTTGGAGACACTTCGGGTAGTGAGCGGAATTATGCTCGAACAAATTTGCGCGAGGTTGATGCATGCTCGACATGATATGTATGTGTATAATTATATGTGTATGCCTATATATATACACATACATACATATATACACACAGGTCGATGTGCACATGTGCGCTTGCGGCAGCTTTTGCACCTTGAGGCGTTGACCGACGCACCAACGCCGTCGCCCACCGCGGTCCCGACTGAGTCGCCCACCGCAGCACCGACCGAGGCTCCTCTCACAGACCCGCCGACTGGAACATCTCTCACCGACACGACCACGTCGAAAACAACAACGACGTATACAACTACAACGCTGACAGCAACAAGCATCACAACTGTCTTCTGAGGCGCTGCTCGTCGGACGTTAGGTCACATCTTGCCCTGACTTTCCGCTTTGCCGTTGATGTATTGCCGCGCTGCATTAGTGCAAAGCCTTCTTTTGCCGCTGTCTTTGTCTAAGCTGTAACTACTGTGCCCCCTCCTTGAGTCGCCCCTACCTTTCTTCTTGGATCGGCCGAGTCGTTTGAGCGTGTTCTTTTGTGTTTCTGTCGCGATTGCCACCAATCTTGGCGTGTTGCTAGACCCGTCCCGAGCCTGATGTTATCCCAGTTACAGTGCCGTTCTGGGGCCTCTGGGGCTAATATGTCGCAGCCGGCAGGGCCCGCACGGTGGATCTTCGGAATGTGTCGGATCAGGGGTACGCCTAAGCAGCACCCATTTGATCGACCATCACCCATGAGTTTGGTGAGCGATCAATTGGTAACGACCTGGCATTGGGGACATATGCTTCCCCAGGGAGGCCAGAGGCAAGACACAGGGTGGGATGATGAGGATCGGAGGGGGGGGTCAACGGCGGCGGCCGAGAGATTCGGGCAAGACGGTCTGCCTGAGCAGAGAGCCCACCAAAAGTGTCATGCAGTACTGTTTCAGCAGCTTGCAGTTTTTTCGCGCACAAGTGCCAGACCAAGGTGACTGTACAGCGCAGCGCTGAACAGCTATCGCAAACAAATTATCGATGCCACCGCTCGCATTCCATGGTAACCGCCGTTGTCATGTCCTCTGTGCAGCTTTCAGGAGTAATGCTAATCCAAATAATCATCACCGCAGGCATCAGCGTGACGCTTCCAAGTCTTGGTTGCCCACATGCTTGCGCAGTATTCCACCACGCAGTTCAGATATTCGTTTCCACCCCTGTTTCTCGATGTCGTATTTGGCTCGCAGGCACCGCAGACAACGCAGAATTGTAGATACTATTTCGCGGGGTCGGAATGACATCTCAGACCTATTATTCTATGCGAGGGTGAGATTATGCGAAACTATGTCACTGGCAAGATGCACTCGGTTAGAAGTGAAGAGAGGCTGCTATGATATGTTACTTTAGGTATGGTATTCGGCACAGGCACCATTTTGTCTGAACTGGTGTTGTGCCTTTGCTGTATGCGCGTCCTGATTGTGTTGCACGCTCTACGACGCTGCACATACGCGTGCGAGAGGCATGAGCGGTGGTTGGCTTCTGGGTGCCTCGACTGCTGCTCCCGTGCGGGGCTTGCGAAAGTCGCCCAAGTGGGAGATCGGTAGGGGAGCCGAGAGAGTGGAAGTGTTAAGTCGGGCTTGTCCCTCTACAGGAGGAATATTCAAAACTAGTCAAACAAATAGTATGGGCACGATTTGTTGAGTATGTTTTGACTGTGCTGGGGCATTTGTTGCGCATTTCTCATGGAAGTGGGGATGTGCAGATCATGCGCCCACATCGATCTTGACCAGGGCCCAGTACGCGTGCGCTTTCCTGCCGAGCTTGTGACCTCCTCTCGGGGCGAGGGGCGTGCCTCGCTTCTGCATCGGAACGCGCTGGCGGGAGGCGCAGCACGTGCTCGCACAGCGCGTGCCCGCGGATGGTCTGCAGCAGAGCGGTGCCGACCGGGCCGGGGCGCGCCGCGCCCGCGCCGAGGATCTTCCAGGTGCTCGGCCAGCCCGACCACGACTGGCCGGAGTTCACGAAGCTCACGGAGGCGGCCGTCGCCATGAAGCAGTGGCGAAGCGTCCTGGTTCGCCTATAGGCCCACCAAGGGATGGTCTCTAAGAGCTTTTTGTGGTTTCAGCGAAATGTTCTTAAGACATTTCTAGCTGGGACCGTATTGTTTTAACGTATCGGGCTTATGTTCTAAGCACATCGTTTTTGTTATTAGAACATGCTTGGGTTCTAAGAGCAGTTCGTGGTGGGCCTATAGGACTGCGGCCGTCTCGGAGGCTGCCAGAAGGTTTCGTTGGACAAGGTCGGTTTCGCTAGATTTGGCCCCCCTCAACCTGGCCTGAGGCCCCCCGTCTCGGCCCCCAGCAGCCGTCGGAATCGCCCTTCTGGAACCAGACCTTCTCGCCTGTCCCGGCCGTCGCCAGTGCCCGCAGCTCTGCCCATGCGGTGCCCTGCAGGGCACCCCAGGCGCGAACAAAAGCCCGCGGGCCGAGGCTGCCGAACGCGGGCTTTGACGGCGGGTCGTGCTCACACGTCCGGAGGCGGCTCCTGGGAGGTCCGATTCTGAACTTGCCCCGGTCCGAAATCCAGTCAAATCCCGCTGAATCCCGCCTAGTCCGCGGCCTAATCCGGCGTAGCAGCCCTCCAATGGGGCTCAATTCTCCCCAGACCTTCCGACGAAGACCTCCCAGCCATTACCTCCTAACGTACTCAGGGCCCTAGTTGTTCTAAAAAACGCTGGGGGGCGTGTTTTTTTTCAACTTCTCGTGTTGCGGTCGACCAACACATAAGAAACAACGGCATCCCAAAACAGAACAAACACGACACCGGCCGGGCCCAAAACGAGCGAAAAACGGCAACCCAAGACAGACAAAAAACGGCAACGCAATACAGAAAACAATTGACAGAAACGGGAGCCATAACAAAAAACGGCAGTTACAAACAGTTAGATAACGGGTGGCATAATGAACCGAAAACGGTGAGACGACAATCCCAAAGCAGAGATAAAGCGGCTCCCGAAGCAGAAAGAAAACGCCGATCTTGAAGACGAACAAAAAAAAACGCCCCCAGCGTTTTCAAAAAAATGTCCAGGCGCAGGGCACGGCGGGGCGGCGCGACCCTTCGATGGGGCCTGCAGGGTGGAGGGAGGAGGGCGTGAGGTGCCGTGCAGCGGACGCTGCGCCCGCCGCGCGCCTCTCCCGGTGGCCTTGCCAGCTTCCTCCTCCGAGCTTCTCGTGGCGCCAACATCGCAGAGCGGATTTCAGAAAACGATAGGATGGGCCCGGCGTGTCCCGGGGAATTTCCTTCTGGGTTTCGAGGTGCATTTCGTGAGGTTTTTCTGGGCCGGGAATGAAGACTAAGAACACCCCACACGAGATTCACGTCGTTTCTCCCTCGCCGTTTCGGGGTTTCGCGTTGGCAGAAATCCACGCAAGAATCCGCCGCAGCACGCCTGCAGGGTCGGTGCAGTGAAGCTCCCCCCCGCCCCCCCCCCTGCGCGCACCGTGGAGGCGTGGTGCGGGGAAGGCGACCTCCCCCCCACCCGGCATGCGCTGCGAAGGCGCCGCGAGGGGGAGGCGGGAGACGGGGGGGGCGTGGACGGAGGCGCGCCCCCGCGCGCCCGCCCGAGCTCCGCCCGCCTCCTCGTCGTTTGCCGTCTTTGCTGCAGCGTGCGCTCCTTTTCGCCGTGTGCCGGCCCACCTCCCGTGGACGCGCCAACGGCAGTGTAGGCACCGGCGATGCAGGTTTCGGCACTGTAGGCGGGACTGGTTCGTGGCCAAGCCAATCGTAGGACATCGTGTTTCGCGCTCTCCTACAATTCGCTGCGTCGATGTCGCCCGATACTTTCGCACATTTGAAATGTGGGAAAGCGTGCTTCGTGATTTTCTACCATGTGTTCTGCGCGAGCTCGGTGTCTCAAAAGCCATATTCCCAGCATCGCCGTGAACCAGCATCGCCGTTAGCGCGGCCTTGGCTCTTCGCCCGCGTGCTGGCCCACCTCGTGCTGCCTCGCAGCAGCGCGATTCCGCTCGAGAGCGCCGCCCCGGGCTCCGCTCGAGCCTCTGCCTTGCCTGCCCGGCACGCGTCGACGACGTTGCCTGGCTGGGGAGGTCGAAATATCATAGAGAGGTGCAGCTTCAAGTCGGCGCGTCTCTCTACAGGAGGAATATCACAACTGGATTATCTGTTTGTTGGCCATGTTGGTGCATTCTTCGGGTATTTTCTATGTTTCGCCCCAGGTGCGCCTGTAGGGGGACGTGCCCGACCGAAGTGCAGCTTGATTTTCCGCGGGCCCGGCGAGCGCGTGGGCTGGTCGAGCAGTTCCTGGGCGTGGGGCAACGGATGACAGGCCCTTCGGGAGGCAGGGAGAGAGCGGGACAGAGCGGCCGCGAGGGAGGAGGAGCAACCTTGAACTTCCAGGAGGGCTCGAAAATAGCACTAGGACCTTGACGTCCAGGTATTCCTGTCGAGGTTGTAATTAGGCAGCCCAGATAGATCTATAGGTCTGGAGGGCTATGCTTTAGCACTCTGGAAAGTCAGGGAAGGCAGGGCGCAGCAAGAATTCCATTGACCAGCCGAACGCACTTCAGAGGAGGAAACGGTACCCGCCTGGGAGGCATTCGTCGCCACCGCTGGATTCGCCTTGAGATTCTGGTCAGAACGCACCCCGGGCTAGGTCCGGGGAGTAGCGCTAAGTCGGGCGTGTCCCCGAAAATTCAAAAATAGTCCAAGCATGTTCTGGGGATGATGTATTGAATATTTTTTGCCATGTTTGAGTTGATTGCTTTTTATTTTCGTCCGCAGCCCCCCTGTGGGAGGACATGCCCGACCTAAGAGTAGCGGTATTGGTACCTCCTGGTCCCCCCATCCACAGAACAGCCGAGCGCGTTGCCGCAGCGGCGGGCGGCGACGCTGCCCGCGGCGATCCTCTTCCGTGGGAGGCGGGCGATCGGCAGGAGCGGGGACTCGTGCCAGCTCTCGTGGCATCCAGGACACATCCATGAATCGGGGAGCTTGCCCGAGGGATGTGCTGAGAGGGGAGGGGGAGAGCGGCGAAGTTGTACCATGATGGTCCTGAGCTGGCACAGTGTTGTGCCCAATCGGCGGCTGTCGCCCAGGTTTCTTACCAAATCCAGCGCCCGAGGCCCAGTGAGGATTCGCCGAGACACATGCCCTGCTAGGAATTTCTCCTCTCCACGCCCGACCCAAAAAATGTGGGGGGTGCGGAGTCATATAATTAGCACCACAAGGTTGAACTAAAATAGATGATTCCGCGCGATGGTGTGGTAACTCATCTTATGGGATTCCGATTGTCGCCCGATTGGAATCCGACTGGGGTCCCCCATCGGGATCCTACGGGAATGCAGCGGAATCCA